GGGGGTGTTTAACCATGATAATGATCTTGTGTGTGGGGTTTGTAAATTTCCTTTAGAAGATACGAACCATATTTTTCTAAAATGCAAAGTAGCCATAAAATTATGGGGGCTCTGCTTTAGATGGTGGGGAATTTAGTATGTTTTGCATGAAAATTGTAGGGAGACCTTTCAACAACATTGCTTTGTATCTAAAGACAGGAAAGTTAGGAAAGGGTGGGAGACAATGTGGTTTGGTCTAGTATGGACGTTATAGCTTGCAAGGAATGCCAAGATTTTCAACAAAGAACCCATGGATGGGGCGAAATTGTTTGATTTAGTCCAAGTCCATTCCTTTCAATGGGTTAAAGAAATGGTGGAGGGTTATACGTTTTCTTTCACGGAATGGGTGATGCAGCCAGTGACTTGTTTGTATGGAAGGCCAGCAAGAATTGCGGGGTAATGAATCATGAAGGGAAAGAATAATGTAAGTTGTGAATTGGAGTGCACTACTTCTATTATAAGCTTATATTGTTTATAAGTTTGGACTATCTCTTGTACTCTATAAATAAAAGGTAAAATTAATTTATTTTTATTATTTTTAGAGTATAAGTGGTACAAAGAGATAAGAGGAAAAAATGATTAGAAAAGAAAGATAATATCATCAAATAATTTATTAATATAGAAAGAAAAAATAAATAAATATTCATAATTAATCATTATTATAAAAATTTATTATTAATAAAAAATCTAATAAAACACAGATTAACCCCATGAAGTGCTGGTCGGGTTCTAGCTTATGATAAACTTTTAACAAAAAGAACAAATATTTACGTCGGGAAAAACAGTTGTCAGCTCCTTTAAAATTTTTTGTCAAGCTTCGTTCTTGCCTTGAAGAATATACCAATCAAAGTTTAAGAACATCATATCAATCGTCCTGATGAAAATGATGATCATGGTGATGACAATGATGATCATGATGAGAACAGTAACTGATATCTTGACCCAAAATTAATACTTTTCGATTAAGTGGTTGTTGTAGCGTAACTTGAGGTGTCGAATCCACAAGAAAATTATATTAAATCAACAAAAAGAGTTGTCACAATGAAAAATTAAATTAAAAAATGAATTCTAAAATTAAGAATAAAAATATTTAAATAAAAGATGATAATTATAAAAGATTGAAAACAATATTATGATGAATAAGACTTCAGGGTTCACTTAATTGATTTGTTTAACTGTTATAAATTTTAATTCCAATTTATTGCTCAATTGCATGTTTCACATCCCAAATAAACAATCGGAAGATTTAACTATGAAGAGCAATAATAATAACTAATGTATTTATTTTGAGAGAAATTAATTTGGCAGAATACCCAAATCCACCCTCAAAGTATAGTGGCAGGGACGGATCCACCCTCGAACAAAAAACGGGGACAAATCCACCCACAAAGTTTTCGACTTGGACAAATCACCCCAAATTT